TGACTTTGTAACCAGCGTCGTTTTAGGGTTTTTTGGGTAGACGTTATCCTGTAAAAAAAAGAAAAAAGAAAATCTGCCGTGTCTCAGTTCGGGAATCTCCCCGAGCGAGCAGCCAATGCTTGAGCGGCATCTTCAGCCAATCGGTAATCGGTAAGGAAGAATAGAAGCGACTTGGTTTTGTTTTTCTCTTTCAGTTTTTCAAGATATTTTTTATTGTGTGATGGTTCCACTGGTTATAAAGTCAAGCACCGGCAAGAAGTGTTGAGTTCGAACAAAAAGAATTCAAATAAAAAGAGGAAACTGAAGGAATTTGACAATCAATCAATCAAAAAGTTTCACTCCAAAAGCTTCACTGTGCACTTTGATTATCTCTTGGACCTTAGTGCATCTCACTCTCTCTCTCTCTCTCTGCGTGACTGCTGAACTACACAACGCTAGATTGCACGTTCTTTCAAGTTTTCAGTATTTTCTTCTAAAGCCTGTGTCTTCAGCTCGGGGACGTGGCCTCTGTCTACCTGCTCTCCGTGTTACACATTAAAACATTTTTATCAAAAGCTTATTATTTCTGAAAACAAAACATAACACAAAAAACAGTCCCAGTTTTTTCAACCCAGAGCCGTTAGCATATATTTAACGTATCGCTCGCTCGCTTTTTATAAACCACACATAAAATGGGTTTCAGGTTCAATGGTCAGACTGGTTTGCTTTCCTTCCAAAAGGATGATTTTGGTGAAACTGACCATCTGTAAAAACCTTTTCTTGTCTGGTTTGACATTTGTGACCTCAGCGCTCTGTACGTTGTTCTGTGATTTAGGTCACTTAATGCTCCATATTTTATAGTTTTTAAATCCAGTATTTTAGCGTTTTGTATGTCCAGATAGAGCAGACAGGAGCAGCAGAGTCTGCGGCATCAGAAAACGACCCCTGCAGATGCCAGAAAACAGGGTAATGTTTTGGCTCGGGCTGCAATTAAAGCCGTGTTTCCACAAAAAGAAATTAAGTTCCAGTGACATTATTTAACCCTTAAAATGGTCTTTGGGGGTGGGGCTTGCAGCGCCAATCATTTCCAATTGGTCGAGTATTCACTGCATTTTTTTTCAGCTGCAAAACATTTTTTCTTTTGGGTTAGTTTTGCTTGAGCATTAAGTTACAGAAGAAAGCATGTAGAGTTGTGCAAAAACTGCATGAGAAATCACTTTCTGTATGTTAGCGCAGTAAGTTGCCTACTTTGGGCAGAAGGAACCTTGTAGTTCCTGGAGCTAAATGTTCTGGGTGCTTTGGGTGGAAACGCGGCTTAACAAAACTCGACTGATGGCTTTAGTTTGGTTGGGGGAACGTACACGCTGAGGTCACAGATGGGACTTTGTTTAAGTGCTTCTTACTCGGCCGGCTGTATTCACAGGCGGTCCTTGCGGTTCTGTCTACGTACCATTTGGTTTTCCAACGAGAGAAAGAAAAAAAAAAGGCTATTTGGTGCACAAGCATGTGGCCCCAAAACTCGGTTTTATGTGTGGTCTCAAACACACCATTCGCTTTTCCTTCACTCCGTTCACAAAAAGAAAGAAAGAAAAACCAACTAACACACTAGCTGACTCTTTCCCCTCCCTCTCCAACTTTGGTCTCTGGTTCTGATCTGTGACATTGCCATTTAGCAAAACAACTATGTTCCAGCAAAGCAAAAATAACAAAAAAACCCATCTACAGTTAGTATAAAAGCAAGCCTTTAGTCCTTCTCTCAAGACTACAAAACTGGTTTGTGCCCCCCTCCCTTCCCCTCGACTCCCGCCCTCTCCCACCCCTTTAACCCTTCAGCAGCAGTCTACATGGAGGAACGCTTCGTAAAAACAACAAGCGTCCGTTGTCTCGTTATGCTACATTATTTTTGCTTTTCGTACGGAGAGGGACAGAGAACAGACACTTGACATCATCTCCTCTTGCATTTACCACAAACAAAGTAAAAACAGAGGGAAACATGAAAACGACTTCAGAAACAATAATAGAATCATCTGAGGTGGAAAATAAAATAACGGGAAACAAAAGAAAGGATTTAAAATGGGAATGTATTGTTGCCGTCTTCGTTGTCGTTGGTGTTGGGTTTCTGGTAAAAAGTCTGAGCTGGAGTTTAGGTAGCAGCGGGGTCAACCTGAAACTCTGAAGTCTCCTACTCCGTTTCCTTCCTTCCTTTCCTTCAGTCATGTTTTTTTTTTTTTCACATTCACAAACATTTAAAACTTCCTTGTGCAAATCAAGCAGTCTTTAGAAAGAATGCCCTCCGAAATTGTTCTTGTAAAAATATATAACTCCAAGGTGGCTGACGTGTGTGTTGCAGCAAGTGTTTCTATCTTTATCGGGTCTGGTGTTGGGGTTGCTTTGTATTTCAACCAATCCCCTCCCCTCATCCCCTCATCCTCCCATCCTTCACTCTGCCTTCCCCTCAGAGAGGCGGGGTTGGTTTGTTGTCTATGTGTGGGGGGCGTGGGTGTAGGGGGTTCATCTGCGTCCGGAGGGCATCTGTGCGTAGACGGGGTATGCGAGGCGCACGTTGAGTGAGTCGTTGTGCTGCACCAGGGAGGTCTGGTGGTAGTGGAGCACCAGGTCCTTCAGGCTGCTGTACAGGTTGTAGGGCTCCGCGAAGCCGAAGCCACGTGGCGTGCTGTAGATGACACAGTGCTTCACCTCGCCTTCGACGCTGAGGACACACAGAGAGGACACAGTCAATCAAACTGGCTTTAATGATCATGTTTGTGTCTTTGGAAAGTGTTTGAATGATGTGTGTGCAGTTTGACTCTAGGAGGATGTCTTCACATTCATCTACTGAAAGTGGAAAGTTTCTCTGAGCTCAATGAATGTCTGATTTTAAGAGACGGGGCCTACGAGCATGATTTGTGACTCATACAGTGTGATCCATCAGCGCTCAGACACTGAAACTTTACAGTGAAGGAGGAGACATCTTGTGTCTAGCAGGAAACTTTAGAAATGGACATTTGCATATATCATTTTTAAATGAGTTAACCTTGTACCTAGATTCATTTTAAAAGGATGTGGAAATTCTACTTTTTAAACTGTTAATTAGGGATTTGCACTGTTAGTTGATTAACCGTTGCTATCCCCGCTAGATTTCCTTAAAATTAATATGTATATTAAAATAAGACTGTACGCTGCTGAGCAAGAATATTCCCAATTATCTTAATTCCCGATAATGCAAACTCACCACAAACTAGTGTTTTTTATTATTATGTGATTATATTGTCCCATTCCTGTCGCCCAGTATTTTGTAATCTGACTGCAATACAACAGTTCTGACAGAGAGAAGCTGATTAAACTCTGTAGTAATGTTTGAAGCTGTGACTGTTTTCATCTTGAATAGCATTATTTTTTAAATGTTAATGACCTCCTTCTATACTCAATGTGATGTATATTCTTGTGTGTAACATCTCCACGTCTTGGTACTCACACGACAGAGCAGGCGTAGCAGCCCTTTTTGCTGCTTTCTCGGATGAGGAACGCTCCGTCCGGCTTCCCGAGGAGCAGGTCCTCCGCCTGCGTCCTGTTCAGGTCCCCGACGAACCAGCTCTTCTCGTCGTAGTGAGGCAAGTTCTCGTCCTCCTCGCTCACAAAGTAGCCTCTGCAGCCACACAGGGAGAGAGAGAGAGAGAGAGAGAGACACACGGTGAGATGTAGAAACATAACATTCTCATTACATTAACAGCTCTGTGCAGACACACGTACAGCTACAGCGTTAACCCTCCATGTTTTAATGTTCAACCACAGGCTTGGCAGGAGAAAGGAAGGAAAAAAACTCACTCGTCAGTGTTCTCGTTCTTGATTCCCAGCCAGTCGTTAATTCGTTTCTGACGAACTCCTTTGTGATTGAGCCAGCTAGAGAGAGAGAAAGAGAGAGAGAACCATTACTACCACTAGGAATCGGTGTAAAAGGCTCCTTTCATTTCTAACATTGTTTATGGCGCAGCGAACGAGCATGAGACCGAACAGAAATCAAATTAGCGAGCCTCTGACAAACGTCTTTACAGAACGAGGCCTCGCTGGAAATCTCCAGCTGAACCTTCGGTAAGAGGAAACACAAGGTTCTAATCGAGTCACAGACAGTCTGGGTTTTGGGGCCTTGGGACTAAAATGTGTCCTTCATTTCTGTACAGTGGGAGGAAGCATTTTAGCTTGGGTGTTCATCTTGGACCTTATTCTTATACGTTTTCGAATGTGTTATTCCTTAAAATGATGATCCCTCACACGCAGCCTGTGAGTCCAACAGTAGCTGTTCCTGTTTCAATAACACAGAGTAAATACAATCTATCATCCTCCACCCTCCTGACCTGACAAACAGGACTGCGAGCTTGTCTAACAGCATGTGAGCAGCCGGAGTTCTTTTCTCCCAGGGTTCATTAATATATTTCACACCTGTCCTCAGAAGTCCTTGACTCCTCCTCTGTGTTCTAACAAGACCTGGCTGTGCTCAGTCTGTCCCCTGTACTTACACTAGATACTGGTCCCTGATCTTGCGGAGCTGTATGAGGTCGGGCTTCAAGCTGTTCATCTTCTTGTCGGTCTCGCGGTTGTCCATGGCTTGCGTCTTCAGGTCCTGCTCCAGCCGCACCTTGCTGTCGTGGATCTCCCCGAGCCGAGACTTGAGCTTCTCGTAGTTCATCATGATCCGCTCGATCTCCTTGTCGTTGCCCTCGCGGCGGAAGCGCTCGATGTAGTCCTTGCTGTAGCGCTCCTGCGTGTGGCACTGCTCCTCGAAGATCTTGATGGTCTCGTTAAAGGCTTCGATGGCCGTCCGCTTCATCTGGATCTCCTGAGGGACGAGAGGGGGGCGAGGCACGTGAGCACACAGGACGGGAAACCACAGAAACTCAGTCACAGAATGGAAGTTTGTGTGTACCTGCGACGTCTTGGTGTATTCTTCGTACAGTCTGTCGTACTCTTTGCTCTTCTCCTGGTACTGATTGTGGTATTCCTGCAGCTTCTTCCCCACAGCATCAATATTATCCTCCTTTACCAGCTGGTCCTGAGGGATCGAGGAGGAGAAATGAAAGACATTAGAGAGCGAGCGGTTCACAGAAACTGACGACAGGACGAGGAAAAAGGGAAAGAATACATTTGTAATTAAGGACTGAGGAAAAGTACACGTGCATGTTTGCTCCCTTCACCCCCGATTCTGCTTACAGAGGGCGACTCCTGAGCAGGCTCGTTAATAAACCACCCACATTGCCCTGAGTGTACGCCAAAGGTGTGCACGCTCCGAGATATTGCATTGCTCCCGAGTAATGGCTCGCCTGGTGAACGAGTAGAGCGAGGGAGGAAGGGAATAAATGCGACAGCGGGCCTTTGACACCGCAGATGTGTGTAATATTTCAGCGAGCGGAGATCTTGCTGCAGCTTGGAGTGGAAACACCCGGCAACGCGTAACGGGGGAGGAGAGGAGGGTGAGGAAGAAACTAGTTGGAAAGGTGTTTCAGATATAGCACAAACTGAAGTTGGGTCTCTAACATCAACAAATACTTTTAAAGGAAGATTGTGCTTTTGTTTTTTTGTCGTGTTTTTCCTGTTTGTTATGATCAGATTGTGGTTTCACTGCAGAGACAGCAGAGACAGCAGAGGACAGCCTAAGACATCCACTCTCACTCACAGACAGGTTTTAAAGGAATCAAATATTCTGAACCATTTCTTTGGAAGGTAAAAAAAAAAAAGTAAATACTTGAACCTGCCTGTGCACAGAAGTGCAGTGAAAGTCTGAACACCTAGACACCAGTTTCATCATCACACAATATTCTATCCATATTTGCTGATATCACAAAGTCTTCCACGATACAATTCTGATTAGATTCAATACGGTCATACGGTCTTAAAGAGGCAGATAAACGTGTCAGTAAGAGTGTTTGGTGTACGCCGTCGTGTGTGCTGACCTGCTGGAAGCGGGAGATGGGGTACATGAGTTTGACGTCCAGCTTGGTGTTGTACTGAGCCAGAGACTCGTGTCGGTAGTGGCTGATGAGCTCCACCACCGAGCTGAACGTCAGGGGGTCGGAGAATCCGTACTTCCCATCCCGATGGTAGATCTTTATCAGCTTGTTGTTGCCCCCTTTCCTGAACACGAAGAGAAAGAGAAGAGGATACAGGAAAGAAGATGAGTACATTTATATATTCTATGCATCTAAAACAGAGCCGGTTCTCCTTTAATATTCACACTTTAACAGCTTCTCGTTCAGGGCTCAGTTCCCCTTCCAGCACTTTATTTCCAGGGCAGTGGGCGATTTGCTCCAATTTACCAGGATGCTGTGTAGGCAAAATGCTTCTCAACACATGATTTCCCTCAATCTGTAGCTAACTAGAGGGATGGTTGCACAAAAATTGGAGCAGGAGAAGTAATCTACGGCTCCTTCCAGCCTCCATAAATCCCCCTGTGGTTTAAAACACACTCCATCCGTGACTCACTGACACAAACTACAGCAGGACTTTACCTCAGTGTGAGCGTGTAGTCACCCTGCATCTTGGTGGAAGCGTCCCGAACCAGGAAGGTCCCATCGGGCATGTCTCTGAGCTTATCGTTCACCTCCTCCCTGAACACACAACAGAAAGTGAGAGTTGGTTGGTTGGTTCCGTGCACACATGGTGTTCATTTAAAAAAACAGTCTGCCTCCAATTATCAGTGGCAGGCGATGAGGACTTTCCCCGCAGCCACACACCTCAGAGTAAACAGTCCTGTCAATTAAATGATGCAGCGACCGGTCAGACTGGTCCCAGGCAGCAGAGTGTGTGTGTGTGTGTGAGAAAGGTGGCAGACTGGCTGGCTGCACTGTAGGTGTGGTTATCCTCCGAGTGTGGCTGAGAGCTAACCTGCACTTAGGAAGGTAAGGCAGTGAGTAAGAGCTAAACAGTAAAGAATCAGTTCCCAAACAACTCCACTCCGAGGGAACTGGTTTTAATGATTTCAAAGCTCTACAACACTGATCAGTGAGTTTGATTCTGTTTACTTTGAAGTCTGCAAATGAAAATGACTGGTGTTATAAATGGAGTCTGGACTGCTTGCTTATTTACTTTTTCACCAGGTTACCAAGTGTCCTCATTAGGACGTACAAACCATACAAACAGGAATACAAACGTCCACACGTTTGAATAAAGCTGTGGGCATTTGTTGCACTTCACCCCCCAAATTAATCCCCAAAAAGACAGTTTGGGTACTTCAGGGACCGTACTTCAATCTGATCTGTACCCATCTCTTTCAAATGCTGATTATTTATACGTTCTGTGAGAACATTATCCATCTGAAGAGTGTGTGTGTGTGTG